CTGGAAAATAAACATGCCTTATGGATGTGACAAAAAAGTCTGCGAATGTATAGTATGCAACATACTTTGTAGAAATTCTGTTAATTAAACTGCACAACCCAAAAGAAACAATAATAATCAAATGGAAAAGAGTTGGCTCTCTATAAAACAAAAATTATTGACTTTATTTTATTTAATTTTTCACATTTATGAGGGAAAAAAGTGTCGTTATGGATGTGACATCTCTCCGTTATGAATGTGACAGATGTGAAATTGCCGCTTGTGTGACTTTGCTAAATCAAACATAATAGTTTGAAAACATTGACAGATACATTCTTAGTATTTTTACTGTACTGTAAAATACTTTTCTTATACAAAAAAACTCAGAAACGGTTTCCGTATTTTGGTGAAAAAAGTTTATTCATGGCAAGGTTGACATTTGCATGGAATTGCTCATATATAAACTTTGTTTACATATTCTGACATTTGATCAGTTATCAGGCTTACAATTACTGCGTTTGCGTACATTTTTTAAAACCGTAAATTATTTCAAATTATGTAAACTATATATATAAAAAATATATACATTTAAAGTGATGGAACATTATATGTAAAACAAATCTAACCTATTGTATAGGCTACAGGCTAAATAAAGGCACCTTGTCAGAGCTTTACATCGTGTATGTCAAAGGCGTGAATGTAGACCTAATAACTGATCAAATGACAGAATATGTAAACTTAGTTTATATATATAATTAAATAATAATAAATAAAAGCCTGAGTATGGTCCGCAGAGGGCTCTTATTATGAGGGCATTTCAGCACTGCCTACTTGTGAATAATGAATTTAAAATTAGTTTTTTCGTTTTCCTACCCTAAAAGTAATAATAAAAAAAAAACGAAAATTGAGCCAAAATTTCGTTTTTTAATTTTTTGTTGTAAGCAAAAGCGAAAAAGTCAGTTTTTCTTACGAGACCCTGATTCACTGTGCTGAGCAACGTAAATCAAACAACATGATGCCTTGTGCGACAGCCTTCATGCTTCTTTCAAACTTGAAAATATATTTGGCTGAATTGTCGAGATGCTGGATTAGGATTTGTGTGGGGGGTTGAATCGAGATCGCAATTTTTTTTTTGGTTAATCGTGCAGCTATACGGCTAGGTGAAAAATTGTCCCATTTCATAAATGAAGGGGTCATTATGGCTTGCACATTACCCAGCTCTCTGCTCTCTGTCCCATTTAAGTTTAATCTTTTTATGCACTTCAGTTGTATTTGAACTCTCTTTTACTGTATCTGCAGGAAACATCATCCAAAACATCATCTGACCCAGATCTAGTTTTTTTTCTTTCTCTCCAGAGGCAAAAAAACATCTTTCTCTTGTTTGACGTGATTTAAAAGTCTCCTGTGTTTGTTCCCTTGTCCGGGTCACTTGGAAAGGGCTCATTTCTGAACGTCAATGTCCCTCGGGTCGCATACCTTGAGCTGTTTAGCATTCAAATATTCACTCAGGCAGGTTTTAATGATTTGTCTAACATGTACAGGGAGATTTTCACGGTATGAGAAACTTGCATGACCCTTGACAACTTTACAGCAATGCTCCTCGTGCTGTTGTGTGTTAATTTGTAAGCAGAACAAGAGTACATAATGTTTTTTAAGCATGTGCTCTTTTATTAACGTAGGCTCTTTGGTAAAATGTACCCTGGTGTACATTTTTGAGAACTAAGGAATATGTGCTCACTGGTACATATGGCTGTGACGAATTATATTGGGTGTTACCGCTGACTTGGGTTGGGTTTAGGGTAGGGTGTGTGTGGGTGAGTCTGTATCAAGCTGATATATTATGCACGACGAAAAAGCCAATTGACTTCTCTCACGGACGTGCACAAGAAGGACATTGAGACTTCCAGAAATGTCCACATTGATTTTAGAGAAATGGAACATTCTAGAAAACATGCCCCAGTAATGTATTTGAGATTGTCAAAAATGTACACCGTGCCCTCTACTGGGTTTGTGAAAACAAAACTGCATGAAAATATAGTCCTGAGCACATATTTCCAATGTAAGAGTTTTAAACTATTTTAGAGTTCAATAATGACCCTATGAAATCCAAAATGTGTGAGGTTTGGTCAAACCACAGGTGAAGAGGGTAAATAAAACCTAATAGTTTTTACCATACTTCCCAGTTTATAGTGGAATTACCAACCTATGTCACACGAGTTCAGCCGCGCATACCGCAAACACGTTGTGTTGTGCAGTAGGATGCCAAAATCGAATTAAAATAAAATTTTATTGTACACCACACTGCTTTTAATGCCAACCACAGACGTCTTTGGCTAACATGGAGCTGAATAGAGTTCTATAATCTATATCAGGCAAGTTCAAGCTATGCTGAATCATACACATTACTCGTGTTTGATTGCAGCAACGATATTAGCAAAAACAGCTAAGGTTAATTAAACGATGGACACTGAATGCTTAGAATGAAATGTAAAGGTGTAAGTTCACATACCCTGCAATACAATTGCAGTTTGCTGTCAGAATGCAGTAGTTTTGCTTGTTGATGATTACCCAGGCCTTGTACAGTTCAGTCTTCTTTCCTTGTCTTTGGCTAGGCAGAACCTCGGTTTTTAGCACTACATGATTTTGAATCTGGTAATCAGGGAACATTATTTCTTGCACATGACCACACAGAACAAAATTGTTGGCATCCAAAGACTTGTAGGCCTCAAACTTCTCTTGTAAAATCACTTAGAGTTTCAATGAGATGGTTGATTTTTGTCTTATCCAGTATCCATTGGAAGGGTGCTATTGCAAATGGAATAAGAACAATCCGATTCAAGTCAGACGAACTGCGCTCACTTTAACGTTAATTTTGCTGAATAACTGTGCATATCACTGGGTGACAAGCTGTTATAATACGCTGAAAGCATTATGTAAATAATATACATATGTAATCAATATAATTTCTAGGACAATATACATATGTAATCAATATAATCTCCAGGACAACAACAACTGCATCGGATGTCATTCCCTCGCTGTAAATGTTAGTGCTCCTGTGTTTTTTCTGCAACCTCGATGCGCACGCATCTTGAATGTTTACAAACTGGTAATTTGACTATAGAATACATTAAAAACATTTTTGTATTACATTTTTACATGTTTGTGTATGAAAATGAGGTACTATTTCAGTAAACTCACTGATTTGAATATACTTTTTGCAAAAATCTGAACATTGGATTAAGTCAGGTTCAAAATTGCTACTTTTTCTGACACATTGGGGCCAAATATGTTTTACAAAGAGCATTTTGAGTATTTGTTGATTTATTCATCACTCCTTAACTCAAAAAATACTGCCAAATGGCTAGAAAAAAACTCCTTTTGAGAAAATGGCCTTCAAAATATGTAGATCTGAACAGACAAATTGATAAAGCGTGACAAAATAACACTTAAAACTATTAACACTTTATACCAAAAACCCCAAAAGATTACATTTTTATTTTAAGGTGTTCCTGTTACAGGGTTACTATTCACTAAACTAATACAATAAGTGCAATTATTACATGTACCTACTGTATGGTTGGGTTTAGGGTTAGTTGCATGTAACTATGCATAATTAATTGTATTAACTGTAGCATGCTTGCATTTATTTTAGCTGAAATATCTTTCTGTTTACACGACACCGTTTATATGTGCGATCTGACATCTTTCAGGATGAAGCAGGGTATTTGTTAAAATGCAGGATGAGACTTGATTTTTGTTACCAAAAAAATGTAATCATTAAACAACTTAAAAACTTGAAATGAATCCTTGCTGAAAATGAAATTATAAATATGAAATATTTTTTGTTATTTTTTACTTTTCTAAATTAAAAATGAAGTTTATGTTGATTAATAATAAAACCACTTCAGTTTGTATGAAATAATTCCAATTATATAGATGTATATGGGTAAAAATTAAAATGCTAAAAACACATCTACATATCTATCTATTACTTGATTGATTGTTCATTCTATCCTTTCTTCGTTCTGTCATTTGTTCATTCGTTCTATTGGTTGTTCATTTGTTTTATCGTTTGTTCGTTCTGTTGTTTGTATGTTCGTTTTATCACTTGTCTTTTTTTCACCGTTTGTTTGTTCTGTCATGTTTGTTTATTTTATCATTTGTTTGTTAATTTCATCATTTGTTTGTTTATTCTTTTATTTTTTAGTTTGTTTATTGTTTGTTTGTTTGTTCTATCGTTTGTTTGTTTGTTCTATTGGTTGTGCACTTGTTTTATCATTTGTTTGTTCTTTTTTTATTGTTTTTGTTCATTTTATCAGTTGTTTGTTTATTCTATCATTTGTTTGTTCTACTGTTTGTTAGTTTGTTTATTGTTTGTTCGTTCTGTCGTTTGTTCATTCTATCGTTAGTTTGTTCGTTCTATCACTTGTTTTTATTCTATTGTTTGTTTATTCATTTTATTATTTGTTTTTGTTTGTTTGTTTGGTTATTCAATCATTAGATCGTTCGTTCTACTTTTTATTCTATTGTTTGTTGAACCGTTCATTTGCTCTATCATTCTATGTCTTAATAGTACTGTGCAAGTGTCTTTTTGATAAAGCGTGTCAGTACGAACAACAGCTACAAAACAACAAAAAAATTTTTGCTATTTTGAAATTGTTTAATATTTTTATGACAACATTTTTATTTTAAATTTGAAGGAAATGTGAATATTGTTTTACAGACAAAACCATAAACTGTAAATTTAGAGAAGCCGTGTATTTCCATCCTTGCAATCTGATGTTTTTCTGAATGTAACAGGACAAACTTGATTTTGTTAACAGGAATCGTTGATCAAGAAAAAGAAAAAAATACTCTCAATAGCACGTATTGCTAAAACAAATAGATCTTGATCATTGGTCATCATCCCATAATCGCCACCCTTCCGATATCTTCAGGGAACTTGGATTAACAATATTTGAGAAACAGTTGATTATCCCATGATATGACTAACAAAAGGCCTGACTGTGTCTCATCAGAAACTGCGGCAAGCCGGTATTGAAGTGCCTGAAGTGGGTGGAAAGGCCAAAGGTGGCGTGGAGGAGGACAAGAAAAATCTGAAGGAAGAGGTCAGGCAGCTGAAGGACGAACTCGACGCAACCAAGAAAGGTATATTAGTCTGAATCGCTCATTCAGTGCTTAAAGGGACAGTTCACTCAAAAATTACATTTACTCTACTTTCACTTGTTCCAAACATGTCTGAGTTTCTTCTGTTAAACACAAAGGAAGATATTTTATAATCATTATCCATTGACTTCCATGTTATTTGTTTTTCCTACTGTGGATTTCAATGGTTACAGATTTTCTGCTTTCTTCAAAATATATTACTTGGTGTTTAACAGACGAAAGAAACCCATAAAGGTTTATAATCACCTGAGGGTTAGTAAATCATAATTAAATTCTTTAATTGTTTGAGCTATCCATTTGATATCACTGCTGTCTGCATATTAAGAAATTAAGTTTATCTGTGTATAAAGTTAGGCTAATGAACAAACTTCTAGGATTTGATTTGATTATAAATAGTGGCCTGTGAGATTTTCGTTGCCATGTGGCATTGGAAATGTACAAATAAATGGGTCCCACCATTTATTATGTGGTTTTAATTATTGTCTGCTTGCATCAGAAAATTCAATTTATATTTATTTCTATAGTGCTATTTTACAATGTAGAGTGTGTCAAAGCAGCTTAACATTGAAGTTCTAGTAAACTGAAACTGTCAGTCCAGTGTTCAGAGTTGAAGTTCAGTGCAGTTCAGTTCAGTCTGGTTTAAATTTCACTACTGAAAGTCTAAACACTGAAGAGCAAATCCATTGATGAACAGCTCCACAAGTCCTTAAAAATAAGAAAATGTGTTCATATAGTATTGCACAAAGCTTCTGGTGCACTTGAAGTGGGCTACAGATAAGGTTAGGGACGGGTCTGGAGGTATGGTTAGGTTTAAGGTTAAGTAAAGGTAAGGAATGGGTTAACAGTGTAATTATAAATATAGTTACAAAATAAATATGTAATTGTAAACAGATATAGATTTTATTATTAGATCAATGTAAAAACATGCATGTACTAGGGCTGCACGATTCTGGTTAAAATGAGAATCACATTTTTTTTAGCTTAAAATCAGGTTAATATGAGTAGACTATTATTATATGGTAAAATAACAATAATATTAGGCCTATGTGTAGGTCTACTGTTGGTTAAAATGCTAAATTTTGTATATACTTATAATGGTGGACTTAAACAGACTTTAAATTTGTCCTGGTTGGTAATTCACAGTATAGTTATTACATCAGAATTAAACTATATATAATGCTGAAAAGTTGAATTATTATGTTTGAGGTATATGGTTGTCATTTGTCATTGAGAACATTACTAGACTATTTTTTTTCACTGGTAAAATGAGACATTTGTCATTATCTGATACCCTGTTCCATTATGTTCAACATTATAAAGGCTAGAGTAGTTATACTGACTCAGTAAACATTTATTTACATGCACAACACTCTGTTTGCTACTGAAAAAAACATTTAATGCTTGCTGTAATAACTCTAAACTCTAAAATGCGATATAATGCGATATAATCCTTTAAATGATGGCTGCAACGTTTTCACTTTCACTGCTGCGTGCATTCATGTCATGGCTGTAGTCACTCTGAAAAAAATAAAAAAACATGCATGCAGATCATACTTCTCGTGTGGCTCCCAAAAGATCCCAAACTGAACCTTATTTACAACTTTGTTACCTGTTATTCACACCCTTTACAGGTTCTGTTCACTAAAGTAGACATGGGGGGCATGCATGTGCATCCTCTCTGAGTTTCGTTCCAAGTCGTGCTATTCAATCATTTGGTGAAATTGTATAGATGCAGTATAGACCATTTTGGGGGATGTTAACAAAAACAATGGTCCCAGCGTATTTCCTGCTTTACATATTTAATTTCTATAGCGTCCTAAAATTGAAAAAGAGGCACATATTGATAAATAATGTTATGACAGCTGTTTTAACAATAAGTTATGATTGAATTTCCTCTTTTTACAGTTATGATAGTTTAATAGCATGCAGGAAATGTTCATGAGTTAATGACATGACCACATTGAAATGGTCAATATCGTAATATATATCACGGAAAAACAAAATAACGCAATGTCAGATTTTTCTGTATCGCCTATTATGAAGTGTGCCTCACACAGGTGAGTGGGCTTGACAAACCACCTGTAGAAATAATCCTCCCACTCTCTAAATAAAAAAAGCAAAAAACTCCCCCCTCCTCACTTTAGCAATTAATTCTATGAGCACTAAGAGTTCCTGTATATAATTAGCCCTTTTTGTGTGTGCTGCCTTTTCTTGTTCGCTGAGTGCCTCCTAAATTGTAAGACTATAAAAAAATATCTGCTAACTGACTAAATGTAAACGTGAAATTTTGAGGGTTTAGAAAGTTGATTAGTTCCTTCTAATGACTCTACAGTGAGCAACACAAGAAAACAGAAGCAGAAGTAAACTCCTCATAGAAGAATGAGCGCAGTAAGCATGATTCCCATGCCTCCCTTAACTGTATTTAGACAGTGCTGAGGGGGTCAAGGCCTGCTGATGACCCTCTATCTCCATGGGGTAAAGGGGTCATCTTGAGTTGAACACTTTTTAAGGGGTACTACACAAAACTGTCAGTGAGCTTAAAATAAAAACATTGTTTTATCATTGTAGCAAGAGATTTCAGGACGACCTGTTCTTTAAAGGTTATGTAAATAAAATGTGTTATTGATTTCTGTTTTAAGTTTGTGGTCAGTGTGAACTTTTTAAAGTCAATTAATGTTATACAGGAAGCATTAAATTGATCAATAGTGAGAGTAAAGTTATTTATACTGTTGCAAAATAAATCTAATTCAAATAAATGCGGTTCTTTTGAAAGAAAAAAACATTTTGCTTTGCATATAAGATATTAGTCATCCAAAATTATCAATATTTCATCATAGCTATGAATCAGAAATATACAGTGCTCAGCATATATGACTACACCCCTCACAAATCTCTCATTTAAATTAATAGTTTCTATACAGTAGGAACTTTACAATATTATATTTTTTGCATTTACATTAGCTTAGTGAGTACTGAAACCAAATCTGGAGCTTATCAACAAAATATCTTATAAATTTGGGCTACTAAATTGTGAACCATTTTTGTATGTTAGGGAAAAATATTAAATAACGTTTTCAAAAATAGCAAAAATCAAGAGAAAAAAATATATATATACAATTTAGTTGAAATGTTGTAGTTTGTTTTTGTTTTTTTGGATGAATTTAAATGAATTTAAATGTATTATCTTTCATTTCTAAAGATGTCCTGTGACTAAAATATTATTTTTTGTAAATTATCTGTTTCAGTAATCTGATTTGTTTAAATGCGCCAATATATATTAGCCATATTCACTGAGAAATGGATAAAAATGTTCATTTTCAAAATGGCGTGTACTCATTTATGCTGAGCACTTTGTCTTGAACAGCAAATCAGCAAACTAGACTCATTTCTGAAGCATGAGTTTACGCTAAAGACTGGTATAATGATGCCGAAAATTCAGCTTTACATCGCAGGAATAAATTAAATTTGAATATATTTTCAAATAGAAAACATTTTGTTTAAATAACAATAATATTTTAAAATATTACTGAAGGATCACATTCACTGAAAACTGGAATAATGATGCCAAAAACTTTACTTTACATCACAGAAATAAATTACATTTTCATGTATTTTGTAATTGTATATATGTATATATGTCTTATTTGTGAGCATAAGAAACTCCTTCTTTATTAGTATTGTCTGCTATTAGTGTTCGTGTTGTTTGCTACATTTTGCTACATGTTTGTGAGCATAGGAAACTTCTCTCAGAGACTTTCAAATAGTGTTGTCTGAACAGATTAAGGTGAAAAGTGGATCACACCTTCCAATGAAAGTCAAAAGTCTGACTATGTGATGCAACAGTGAATTAAAATCGCACAGAAAACCTAATGCACATCTTAGACTGGTGTTATTTCTGCTGATTTTGTACACTGTTTGCTGGTGTGTGCAGCTCTTCAGAAGTCAGACAGTGATGTGAAGGCCATGAAAAAGCAGGCTGAGAATCTGACCACAGAGTATGACCGTCTGCTGGAGGAACACGCCAGACTGCAGGTCAGAGATCTTACTTTAATATGTACGCAGTTGAGGAAAACATTATTTGCCCTCCTAGGAAATTTTAATTATTTTTAAAAATTTGGTAAAACTTTATATTAACTGCACACTATGAATCATTTATTAAGGATCAGCAAATAGTGAATTCATTATCTGTTAAGCATTAACTCTACATTAATAAACGTTAGTAAGCAGCTACAAATGCTCTATTCTTGACTTTTAAAAACATTTATAATGTGCTTAATAATTGTATTTTCATAATTTGTTAATGATTTAGGTCCCACTTTATATTAAGTGGCCTTAACTACTATGTACTTACATAAAAAAATAAATACAATGTACTTACTGTGTTTATAATGTATTTGAGAACACCTGTGGTGCTTTTGAGTTGGGATACAGGTTGGGTTCTGGACAGGTTTGGTGGCGTGGGTAGGTTTAAGGGTGGGTTAAGGCAGGGGTTCCCAAACTTTTCAGCCCGCGACCCCCAAAATAACAATGCCAGTGACTCGCGACCCCCAATATCCTCTGAGGTGGTTATAAATACAGAAACCTTGCATGCAATGACGCAAAGACACCAATTCAATTTGTGTCAGTGCTTTAAATGTAAAGAAAGTATAACCTGATGTTATAAAATCAAAATGCATCTGACGCTATTGCTGCCTTTAATATAATGTAATTACCCCAGGGGTCGCAATCCAATAGAACTAGTAACTATAAGCTACTATAGTAACTATATAGTATATAGTAACTATAAACGACTATTTTTATTTTCAGTATAGTTATGGATAAAATATGTTAATTCTTATGGTTTATTAAAAATAAATAGATTTTTTGGAAATCACCAGGCGACCCCCCTTCATTGCCCCGTGACCCCTCGGGGGGTCCCGACCCCCACTTTGAGAACCACTGGGTTAAGGTGTAAGGGATGGTCAACAGTGTATATACAAATGTAATTACAAAAGTTAATTACAGATGTAATTACATACATTTATTTAATCAAGCATAAGTACACAGTAAATACATGTATTTACACAATAAGTACATTGCACCAAACTATTAAATCCTGTGTAAGTACATATTAGTTAGGGCACTTAATATAAAGTGGGACCATGATTTGTTTTTCATTACTACAGTAAATATTGCATTATTTACAAACCAGTTATTTAAGAGTAGTTTTTAAGATCATTCAGAGTGAGTTAGTAAATGATTAATAAACTGTTCAAATTAACATTTATATATCTTATTATTCAGGGATATTGTAATAGTTTATTTGTTTGTTAATAAATGTTTCATTAGCTTAACTTCATCCAGTCCTGTGACCTAATCTAAAGTGAGGGTTATTTATGCTTTATAAATCCCTTGTAATTAAAGGCTCGGTTATATTATAAAAAGGAAAACAGAAAATAAACGACATTATTAATTTCTATTTGTTTGAAGATACACAAATAAAAACTGTACTTCAAATGAAAAATCAATCTTTGCAGCCTTATCTAAAGTAAAATCACTGTACAGTTTAAACATTGAGTCTTATTATATTGTTAAATTATTGTGTTGTTGTTTTATCCAGTTTTATGTTGTATTTTGACACTCCTGTTATTTGGCAATGTTTAAAATTTACAGTAATTTTACATTTTAGACAAGATTTCAAAGATTATTATTAATTTAAAACCAAACCTTTAATTGTCATTTATAAGGGATTTATAAAGCATAATGTATCCTCACTTTAGATTAGGTCACAAAACTGCATGAAGTTGAGTTAATAAAGCATTTATTATCATACATAGTAAGCATTTCTATATGCCTGAATAATAAGATTTATAAACGTTAACTTCAACAGTTTAATAATCATTTACTAACTTATTCTGAATGATCTTAAAAACATCCAACTACTCTTAAATACAAAGTTTGTAAATAATGCAATTATTTAATTTACTAATTAAAAATAAATCATTAACAAAGTATGAAAGTACAATTATTAAGCACATTATTAATGTGGTTGTAAGTCAAGAATCCAGCATTTGTAGCTAGTTATAAAACTGCTTACGTGTATTAATGTAGAGTTGATGCTTAACAGATAATGAATTCACTATTTGCTAATGCTTAATAAATGATTCATAGTGTTTAGTTATTAAATAGTGTTACCAAAAATTTTAAAAATGCTGTTTGGAATAACACATTTTCAACAAAATAGTTTTAACAACTAATTTCTAAACGCTAATTTCTGTTTTCTTGTCAATCATGACAGTACTTCATATTTTACTGGTTATTTTGCAAGATACTAGTTTTCAGCTTAAAGTGCAATTTAGACTTATGTTAATGAGGTAAGTATGGTTAATCGGGCAGATCATTGGACAACAGTGGTTTGGAAACCAAAGATAATAATTGACCTTAGCATTTAAAACAAATTAGGGTGACATGGTGGCTCAGTGGTTCACAGCAAGAAGGTCGCTTGGGTGGGTCATGTTTGTGTGGATTATGCATGTTCTGCCCGTGTTGGCGTGGGTTTCCTCTGGGTGCTCCGGTTTCCCCGGTAAGCTAAATTGTCCATAGTATATGTGTGTAAATGACTGTGTATGGATGTTTCCCAGTACAGGGTTGTAGCTAGAAGGGCATCTGCTGCAAAGAACATATGCGGGATGAGTTGGTGGTTCATTCCACTGTGGCTACCCCTGATGAATTAAGAAAATGAATGAATGAATGAATGAATGAATTAATTAATTAATGTAAAACAAATAAGCACATCAGCATTTTGTCAGCTACAGTAAAAGAAACTTCTCTTCTGAAGGGAAATATTATTGGAAATTATTATTTGTGTGTGTGTGTGTGTGTGTGTGTGTGTGTGTCTGTGTGTGTGTGTGTGTGTGTGTGTGTGTGTGTGGTTTCGTTCCTGTGTGTGTGTTCGTTCCTGTGTGCGTGTGTGTTCGTTCCTGTGTGTGTGTGTGTGTGTGTGTGTGTGTGTGTTCGTTCCTGTGTGTGCGTTTGTGTGTGTTCGTTCCTGTGTATGTGTGTGTGTTCCCCCCTACCTCTGCTTTCCCTGTCTACAAATACTGCTGCCTTCTAAGGGCACTGAGAAGAGAATAATGAATCCAGTAGCATCTCAAGTATGCAAGCTTATACGTGGCGAGTCTCTGCTTAAACATTTAACTCTCTGAAACTCATTTTCATGAATTCCTCTTGAGTTTGATTCATTGCTGTGAAGGTTTTTTTTTATTGAACTCTTCAGTGGTTTGCTTAAATCATCATCCCTCAGATGTGCAGCTCTCAAAAGTCTCAGCAGGATTTTAAATGTTCAGTTTTGTTGATTATTTAATGTTGTGATATCATCGGCTTCCAATTTCTCTTCTAGTAAGACCCTTTTTCAGCAATTATTACGGCCTAATTACTTAAATCTTCTTTCAAACATTTATATTTCAGCTATTTTGTAGCAGCTGTTTTGGTTTTAAAAATCTGGTTCGTTCATTCATTCATTCATTCATACATATTTCTTTGGCACAGCAGAATGAACTGCCAACTATTCCAACATATGTTTTATGCGGCGGATGCCCTTCCAGCTGCAAGCCAGTACTGAGAAACATCCATACACACTCATTCACACACATACACTACGCACAATTTAGTTAATCCAACTCACCCATATAGCGCATGTATTTGGACTGTGGGGGAAACCGGAACACCTTGAGGAAACCCACGCCAACAGGGGGAGAACATGCAAACTCCACACAGAAATGCCTACTGGTCCAGCCGCCACTCGAACCAGCGACATTCCTGCTGTGAGGCGAAAGTGCTAACCACTGGGCCACTGTGCCGCCCTGGTCTAATCATTCCAGTTTTTTTCATTATATTTTTTGACCTGTAAAAAATAGACGTATTTTAAATAAACGCAAAATGTATTAGATATGACAAGCACCCAGCTTAGTTGCTAAAATCTTAACTAACTTAAAACGAATAAAAAAATGTTAATTCAAACAACTAATTAAATCTACAGTGGTTACTCAATAAGAATAAAACAAGACTGGCTGACCATAGAAATTAATTAAAGGCTAATTTACTAGAATTAGAACTAGAACTTTTTCAGGGTGCGGGATCTTACAAAGTATTAAAAGTTAGTAAATCAGTGTAGAGAAATTTAAGGCTCTTAAAAAGTATCAAACCGTCTTAAATGCTATTTTGCAAGGTATTCAGTTTTAAAGAATTTTTGATCATGCAATGTATGGTTGTATGCTAAAGTTTGCTTGAATCAAAATAAAGTGTTAACATATTCTGTACAGCAATCATGGCAAAGATAAAAGAAATCAGTCATTAGACATTAGTTATTAAAATTGTTATGCTTAGACATGTTTTTAAAACATATAAAAGAAATACAATTTTAGAGGAGGGCAAATAATTCTGATTTCAGCTGTATATTAAACATTCTTAAAGTGTTCATTGCCTACAGGCCCTTAAAAGGATGCACAGGTACAGTATACGTTTCATTATGTTTTGATACTGATGTTACTTTTCCCATCTTCTAAAACGTCAGATACGATGAAAAACTGCTCATGTATCATTATTGTTCAATTCCCAGTACATGCTTTCTCAGAAAATACATGCTTTAAATGCTTCGTAAGTGAATAAAAGCATCTGAGTGAACTATTAAATGTAAACGTCTCAAACCACATTTCAGCGTTCTTCATTTTCAATCTGCCCGGATGGCAGCTGTTCAGCTTGGAGCAATGTCAATCGGCCGGGTTTTTTTTTTTTTCCTGTGCAGATCAAATATTACAGTGCAGCTAGTGAACATTAAGGCCAATGTGGCATCTGTTTTAAATGACTTCTAACAGTGTTTTATTACAGTACAGATATACTACAGTACTGGTTTTGCTATTTATCTGGCAAGATGCGTCTAAAATTGAGATAAAAAGAGAGTCAAAGGGTTCATGTATTGCATACCTTTCTGAAGTATGTATTGCATGATTTAAACTCGTCACGCGCTGTACAAAAACACATTTATAATGTGTGTA